GTGGCAGGGCCGCGTGTCCGTGTAAGGAGGCTCCGTGGGCTGCCATGCGGTGCATGGGTTCTGCTCTTACTTATCCACGGGAAACCCGAGTCACTGCCCCTCTCATCCAGCCCTGCATGTCCCCAGGTCCCCACCACAGCGCTCACCCCTCAGCAGGTGACTACAGATGACAGAACCTCTGGGAGCTGCCTCAGTTTCCCCAGCCGCCTCTCAATGGCCTTCCCATCCCAGGAGCCCCGGGGCAACTGTCCGCCGGGCTCTCTGTGGCTTGGAGTGACCCTCAGGTTGTCCCAGCCTCTTCCCAGCCACAGTTAGAATCGCCCTGTGTACCGTGTGTCCATGGGAGTGAAACAGGCTGGTGGGCGGGAGTGGTCTTGAGGGCGCACCTGGGCCGCGTAGTGCTGCAGATGTGTCCTGCACACTGGGGTCAGCAGCCATCTCATCCGGTTTTTAATGTGCACTTCCCAGCTCACTGATAGCATGGAGCATTTAAAAATATGCTTATTTGAAGTTTCTCTTTTGTGAAGCTCTCTGTTGGCTAGAGTGGGGCTGGCAAACTGCGACAGAGCAGATGGTGAATATACCTGGTGTGGCCCCAGGCCTCCTGCCGCTGGCATTATGCCCTGGGACAGGCCCGGCGGGGCGCAGAGCTGCTCACACAGCCTGGGGCACAGCTGGGCCTCCTTGGCCAGGCCCTGTCTAGGTTGTGGCCCTGGAGTCACTTTAGAAATGTTCCTCAGGCTTTGACTTTTTCACCATGGGGCTTTCGCACAATTCGGCTTCCTTGTCTTTGATTTTATTAGTCCTTATTCACCATCTCCTTCTTGGTGAGTTTTATTTTGTGTTTCATCAATTTTTTCCTCACCCGAGGTCGTGATGATACCCTCCTTAGCAACCTCCAAAGGTTAAAGGTTGCCTTTTCCAGTGTCCTTGCCCACCTGGCCCTGGTTATTTTCAGGGTGGGATGGCACAATGCCTGGTACACGCTGAGAGTCTGCCTTTTTTTCCTAATTTTTCTACTAGCAATGATGTTTGTGGTCTGTTTTTTTAATTGTAAGATACTAAAATTCACCAGTTTTATTGTGCAATGGAGACTTTTCACCACCTGTCCAGTCTCATGGACACACTGGCAGTGGTGGCCCAGAGCTCAGGCCCCTCTGTGGCCAGTCCCTGTTCTGTCTGGACCGTGGGCGCCCTGCCTGCGTCCTCGCCTCTGGAATTGCGTAGCGTGTGGGAACATGTGTGCGCACCTGCGTCTGCCCCTCCCCCAAGCCATCGTGTAAGTCTTTGTTCACTTCACTGCCGAAACTGTCTGCTTGGGGAGGGGTCATGCTGTGTTTACCCATCCTCCTCCCGATGGTCTAGGTGGTGGTTTCCAGTTTGGCGCTATTAGGAAAAAGGCTGCTTTGAACGTTCTTGTGTAAGACTTTGAGAGGATGTGTGTGTTAGCCAGTGTCTTTTTTTTTTTTGAGATGGAGTCACTCTGTCCTCCAGGCTGGAGTGTGCAGCCTTCGCCTCCCAGGTTCAAGTGATTCTCCTGCCTCAGCCTCCTGAGTAGCTGGAACCTCTGGCACTCACCACCACACCCAGCTAATTTTTTGTATTTGTGGTAGAGACGGGGTTTCACCATGTTGGCCAGGCTGGTCTCCAACTCCTGATCTCATGTGATCCGACCGCCTCAGCCTCCCAACGTGCTGGGATTACGGGCATGAGGCACCACACCCAGCTGAGTGTCTTCAACAGAAAACTTATTTGGTTAAAGGTATTTCCTTCTCTTAGTTTGCTAAGAGTTTTTGTTTTTTAATCACGAATGGACAATGATTTTTGCCAAATAATTTTTATGTACCTGCTGGGAAGATCATGTGATTTTTCTCCTTATATCTTTTGTCATAAATTGTATCTTTTTCATATGCATTAAGCCTACTTTGTTTTCTAGGAATCTGAGTTTGTCAAGCATGATTATCATTTTGTATATTGCAAGATAAGGATGACTACTTTTTCTTTGGGTTATCACCTGTGTTTCCTGATGAGATTAACGTTCGGTGCTCTGTCTGCCCTTGTCAGGGTTTGGTTCTCTCAGGTCCATAGCGTAAGTTTGGGAAGGCTGTCTTTTCAGTTCTCTGAGAAGAGTTCGGGACTGAATTGTTTGTGCGCTGAGTGTCTGGTAAAGCCACCTGGAGCCCTCCTCGGCCTGGGGCTGTCTTGGAAGGGACTTTCTGGCCACTGACCTGGCTCCCTTAAGGTTCTGGAACTTCCTGGGTTTTCTCTGCTGGCCTCAATGCCTGTGTATTACTGTTCTAGGAACTTACCAGTTTCACATGAACTTTCCATTTTATTGGCTTCAAGTTCATAATATCCTGCTTGTGCTCAGAGTCACCTGCTTTAGGTGCAGCTGATTTAACAGTGCATGGCCCTCCCCCTGAATCCAGGGGTCCAGCCAGCACAGACTGAAAATGTTTAGGAACCAAAACTAAAGATTTTCATGTTTAGCAATGTTTAGAAAATGTTTTTAGCAATCACCCAGGCGTGGTGGCTCACGCCTGTAATCCCAGCACTTTGGGAGGCTGAGGCAGGTGGATCATCTGAGGTCAGGAGTTTGAGACCAGCCTGACCAATGTGGTGAAACCCTGCCTTTAAAAAAATGAAAATTAAAATAAAATAAAAATAACAATCCAACAATAATAATACAAATCTTAAAAATACAGTAGAATAAGTATTGCTATAGCGTTTGCAGTGTATTCGTGTTGTAATCTGGGGGTTCTGTAGAGTTGGGGGGTAGGGGGTGTGTTTTAAGTAATCTGGGGGTGTTGTAGAGTTGGGGGTGGGGGACGCGTTGTAATCTGGGGGTGCTGTAGAGCGGGGGTGGGTGGTGTGCACAGCTTCTGTGCAGACTCGATGCCATCTCACGTCCAGGACTTAAGCACCTGTGGATTTTGGTATCAGAGAGGCATCCTGGAACTAGTTCTCAGAGGATACCAAGGGATGGCTGTGTGTGTGTCACCTTCTGACATACTCACCAATAGACCTGTTTGTTTGTGATGTATTGTCTCTCTTCCTCCATTAGAATGCTGGCTCCAGGTCTGTGTCTGTGTTTCACTGAAGTCCAAGAACTCCTGTCAGGAGCCACCAGCTGTGCCAGCCAACACAGGAACAACTGGCCACAGTTTAATTAGAATTAAATACAATTAAAAATTTGGGCTGGGCACGGTGGCTCACACTTGTGATCTCAGTACTTTGGGAGGCTGAGGTGGGAGGATCACTTGAGCCCAGGAGTTCGAGGCCAGCCTGGATGACAGAGTGAGACCCTGTCTCTAGTAAAAATAGAAAAATTAGCTAGGTGTGGTGGCGCATGCTTGTCATCTCAGCTACTTGGGAGGCTGAGGTGGGAGGATTGCTCGAGCCCAGGAGGTAGAGGCTGCAGTGAGCCAAGATCGCGCCACTGCACTCCAGCTTCGGTGACATAGCAAGACCCTGTCTCAAAAAAATAAAAAATAATAATGTGATTCTTGAGTCCCATAAGCCACAGTTCAGATGCTCCACGCCATGTGTGGTCGGCGGCTGAGCTGTTGTTCAGTGGAGATATGGAAGCCTCCAGTGTTGTGGAAGGTTCTGGAAGCCTGGCTTCATTCTCTTCATCTTGCTTCTCTTCTACCTGCCTCAAGTGCCTCAGACATGCCTGCTGATCTCCCATTATACTTGCCTGGGAAGACTAATTCTGCTCTTTCCCTCCTTCCTCCCTTTTTATGTAAAAGTTAATTGAGCATCAAAGACGAGTTAATAAAAAATACAGTCAAGAGTAGAAATGATAAAAATTGGATATAACATGAAGACCATGAAAGTATTTAATCACCGTCATTAAACCACAGACATTGTACGTCATCTCGGCCCCCACACTTTCCCCGGTCTGACTCCAGCCAGCTGGCCAAGGCCCTCTCTTCCCACCTGTGTCCCCAGCTCAGACAGGAACACGGTGGGGGGGCCACCCAGGTTCCCCAGCTCAGACAGGAACATAGTGGGGGGGCCACCCAGGTTCCCCAGCTCAGACAAGAATGTGGGAGGGGTGCCGAGGTTCCCCAGCTCAGACAGGAACATGGGGGGGTCACCGAAGTTCCCCAGCTCAGACAGGAACGTTGGGGGCCGCCAACAAGATTCCCAGGAAAGCCCTCCCAGCATGGCAGTCGCTCTGGTGCCCCATCACTGAGGCAGGGTCACCGCATGGTCCCCTCAGTCCTGTGGCACCTGTTTCTTGTCTTTCAGGTAGGGGGCTGTGTTCCTCCCCTGCCCCCTTTGCCTGTCTGCAGCCCTAGACACCCTCCCTGGCCCCAACTGAGCGCTGCGTGTACCATGTCCTCTCCCTGACAGAACACATGTGTCCTCATCCCTGCTGAGCCCAACACAGGGCCCAGTACCTGCACAGACACCCTTGCAGACAGATCTTCGAGCTGTGTGCAGGTGTGCGAGCCTCAGGCAGGTCCATGAGCCTCGGGCAGGTGTTCGAGCCTCGGGCAGGTCCGTGAGCCTCTGGCAGGTGTTCGAGCCTCGGGCAGGTCCATGAGCCGCTGGCAGGTGTGCGAGCCTCGGGCAGGTCCGTGAGCCTCGGGTGGGTGTTCGAGCCTCGGACAGGTCCATGAGCCTCAGGCAGGTGTTCGAGCCTCGGGCAGGTCCATGAGCCGCTGGCAGGTGTGCGAGCCTCGGGCAGGTCCGTGAGCCTCGGGTGGGTGTTCGAGCCTCGGACAGGTCCGTGAGCCTCAGGCAGGTGTTCGAGCCTCGGGCAGGTCCATGAGCCGCTGGCAGGTGTGCGAGCCTCGGGCAGGTCCGTGAGCCTCAGGCAGGTGTTCGAGCTTTGGGCAGGTCTTCACAGTCCCTGAAGAACTTTTGGTTGTTTTAAGCAAGTAAAGGAACAGACCAGTGTAACCGAGCCAGGCTTGGCACCGCGGGTAGGGTGGGGGACGTCCATCTTTGGCCCCCAGGTAACACCCTGTTGTGCTTTTTCTCCGCAGGCTTCACGATGTAGCAGGGACCCGAGTGTCGTGCTCAGGTAATGCCCGTAAGCCAACTTACTTCCTCTTTCCATGCAGTGAACTGTCTGACCTTGCGGGGACCACACTTTGTGTGTGTGGTCGCTGTAGCAAGCAGCCATTCCTCGCAGCACCTCTAAAACGCAGGCCCTGAGGATAGGCTGGGCCTGTGACTGCCTCCCTAGTTTCTCTCCTGGCCAGTGCCTCTGAGTGACTACACTCCACCCTGTGTTGGGTAGGTCTTGGTTGTAAGTTCTAGCAGGAACAGCGAGGTTGTGGCATCCATGGTGGGAAGTGAAGTAACAGGTGCCATTTCTGTGCTAGAAAATGGAAAAGGAGCCAGGGCCGGAAGCAAGGTGCAGAGGTGAGCCCACGAGCCGAACTGGGAGGCAGCATTGCGTGGGAGTGCTGGCCTGAAGCCTCCATGCCCCGGCAGAGGGGCGGACACGCGGACGTCTAGCGGAGGTGAGGCCCGAGCCCTCCCACGTGGGGCCTGCTGGTTGGGGAGGGTGGGTGATCACAAGCAGCTGCAGTTCTGGACACAGTGCAGCATTCACGGTTCGCTGCTGATTTTCCTGGCCCCTCCTGTGAGAGTCCAAGGTCCAGCCAGCTGTGGGGGCCTAGGCCTTGACACAGCATGGGGTACAGAGGCCTGGCTTCCTTCCATCACTGGTTCACCTGGGCACTCCCCAGGTGGCGGTCATGGAGGAGCTGTGCTGCATAGGGACTGAGCATGGGGCCACTGCCCAGTGAGTTGAGGCCCTTGACCAGCACCCTGCAGGGAGGTCCTCAGGGGTGCAGGGTGCAGGGTGCATCTCCCATCTCCTCTTGGGTGGGTGTGGTCATCAGAGGTGTAGGGTGGGGCTCCCCCACCCAGGTGGATGTGGTCCTTGGGGTGCAGGATGGGGCTCCCCTCCTGGGTGGGTGTGGTCCTCAGGGGAGCAGGGCAGGGCTCCCCCTTCCAGGTGAGCATGGTCCTCAGTGCAGGCTGGGGGCTCCCATCCCCTCCAGGGTGGGCGTGGTCCTCAGGGGAGAAGGGTGGGGCTCCCCTTCCCCTCCCCTTCCCCTCTCCTTCCCCTCCTCTCTCCTGCTTTCCTCCCCCATCCGCTTTCCTCCCCCTATCTCCCTCTTCCCCCTACCCCCCCTACCTCCCTCCCCTCTCCGCCCCACGTCTCCTCCCTCCGCCCCCCCGTCACCTCCCTCCGCCCCCCGTCTCCTTCCTCCTCCCCCGTCCCCTCCCCTGTCCCCTCAACTTCCCCTCCCCCTCAACTTCCCCTCCTCTGCCCTTCTCCTTCCTCCTCCTCCCTCCTCCTCCCCTTACCTCCCCCTCTCCCCTCCCCCTCCCCCTTCCCATCTCCTCTTCCCCCTTTCCCCTCCCTCTCCCTCTCTTCCCCCTCCCCTCCCCCTCTTCCCCTCCCCCTCCCCCTCTTCCCTCTCTTCCCCCTCCCCCTCCCCCGTCTCCCCATCCCGTCTCTCCCTCTCGTATCCCCTCCCTCCCCCTCCCCTCCCCCCCCCACTTCCCCTCCCTTTCCCTCCACCTGCCCTTCCCCTACCTCCTTCTCCCCTTCCCTCCCCTCCCCTCCCCTCTCCTCCCCTCCCAGGCAGGCTCCCATATCCTCAATGCACATCAGGGCCCCCAAACCCCACAGCCCCATAGGGAGGAGGAGGGGAAGATTTGACTTTGGAAGTCTCAGTGACCAGGTTGGGACAGCAGGCGTGAAGGTGGTGGCTGAGTGGTCAGGACAGGCCTCACCCCCAGACACCTAGGCCTTGGATGAGCCAGCACTTGGCTGCTGCATGGGAGGGAAGGCAGCTGAAGCCTTGGGCGCACCTGTGACGGGTGGTGTCAGGCTCAGCAGAGCTCTAGCTGGGCTTGTTGGTGGCAGTGGTGAAAGTGGCGTAGCGAATATAGCAGTTGGGTCTCAGTTTTCCATGCCCACTGAGGAACACGCACCTGCTGCTGCCCTGGGGAAAGGTGTGGGGAAGGAACTCCTAGTATCAGGGTGCACTGTGGGCAAGCTAAGTCCCGCCCACCTCCTACATGCCGCGGCCCTGCTCTTCTGCCTTGAGCACAGGAGCAAATCAGGCTCTGCCCGGGCGTGTGATGACATGGGGGGGTCACCTCCCTGAGGGCGCAGGCCTGGTGGGAGGGGAGCAGCTTCAGCGGCTCTCAGTACAGTGCCAGCCGCTGTCACCTGGCCTTGTGCCTGCCCTGCAAGGGTAGGGAGGGCCCTGGTGGATGCAGCCCCTGCCCAGCGCCACCTCAGGCTCTGGGAGTCACAGTCTCAGAAGACACCGTAGAAGCCGAACTGGCCCCGGAAATAAGTGGGGAGGAAGGGCACAGCACACACCCCCGACGCTAAACTGGGTCCCAGGGCCTCGCTGTGATACCCTCGAGGCTCCCGGTGTCCAGAGCCTGCCCATCCTCATCACATCTGGCAGCTCTCCCCTGGCGGGCTCTTTCTGCTCCCTCCGCTTTCACAGAGGACAGACGCCCACAGGTCCACCTGCCCCGCCCCCATCCTGCGTGTCTGCAGCTTTATGGACCCTCCTCTGTCCTCGCTGCAGGAGAGGAGGCAGTGTTGGGCACAGAGGGAAGCTTTGAAGAGGTGGGCTCGTCCCAGTGCACACAGACACTGGACACTGGATTGCTGACTGTGCTCTGCACATGGGAGCCTGAGAGGCTCCTGCCGCCCAGGCCTCAGTTCGCACCATCCTCCCTGGAGGACCTCAGAACTAGGCCGACGATGAAAGGCATCAGAGAGTTTCAGGTGTTAATTAATGGCATTTGCTCTTGCAGAAGCCAAAGATGTTGACCAGGAAGATCAAGCTGTGGGACATCAACGCCCACATCACCTGCCGCCTGTGCAGCGGGTACCTCATCGATGCCACCACGGTGACCGAGTGCCTGCACACCTGTATGTGCCCCATGGGCCACCCAGGGAGGGTGGGCCCTTCCCAGACGTGTGCTCCTCAGAACCTTGGCTTTTGTTTTACCACAAGCTTTTAGCTCAAGCCCAGGCAGCAACAGGACCCAGGACCAGGAGCAGAGATGATCTGAGGATAAGTCAGAAAAGGCATTTGCGTTAAAGGTCCTGTGGGTGGTTTCAGAGCAGATGTGGCCTTACTTAGGAGAGTGAGCAGCAAGGTCAGTAGCTGTGATACGCACTCACTGCTGGCAGTGTCTCAGTCTCCAAAGGACTTCCTTAAATCCTTCAAAGAGGAGTCTACCAGCATGTTCCTCACACCTGCTGAGCCTGTGCTTTGGTGTCAGAGGACTCTGGACTGGGCTGGGCCTGGGTGTCTCTAACTGGCTGCATCTGGTGAGCAGGCATATCAGTCAGGCTTAGGCTCAGTTCTTCTGCTAACATGAGGCCCGTGGCTGGTGGCCCTGCTGGTGTGGACAACCGCTGTGTGTGTCTCTTGATAGCTGAGGAACATTTTGTTTAAACAGGATCTTTAAAATGAAGTGAGCACTTGCACGTGATATTTCTGTATTTCTCACTTTGGAAAATAAAATATTTGCCAATTTAATAGAATTTTGACTTTAACATTAATTGTATTTTTATATATTGGTGAGCATATTTTCTGTTAGGTTATTTTCATTTGATTTTACTGGCTGTACCTAGAAGACAATGTGATCTTTTAGGACAAAGCATTGTGAAGTTCTTAGTGTCAGCCCAGGTTCTGATGACCCACAGCTCTCTCGCCTCTGATCTTCATCTCCCCATTCTAAGTTTTCCTTCCCACTTTTAATTCCTAACCCAACCCTGCCTCTTTGAGGAAGCCCCTTGACTGGACAGTTAAAACTGTCTCATTGCTCCTGAGACCTGAACGGCAAGATGTTTCCTTTCAGAAGCCAAGAGCCACAAGGAGAACAGCAACAAGCGTCTTCACGAAATGGGCTCAGAGACGCCACGTTCAGCCAAGCACGTGGGAGGGGTGGGCACCCTGGCTCTGGACTCGTAACAACCTGTGCTTTGATGACAGTCTGCAGGAGCTGCCTGGTGAAGTACCTGGAGGAGAACAACACCTGCCCCACCTGCAGGATCGTGATCCACCAGAGCCACCCGCTACAGTACATCGGGTGAGTGTGGGTGTTCCAGGCCTCAGGATGTGGGTGAGCGCCCCAGGCGTCCGTGTGAGTGTGGGCGTTCCAGGCCTCAGGATGTGGGTGAGCGCCCCAGGTGTCCATGTGAGTGTGGGCGTTCCAGGCCTCAGGATGTGGGTGAGCGCCCCAGGTGTCCGTGTGAGTGTGGGTGTTCCAGGCCTCAGGATGTGGGTGAGTGCCCCAGGTGTCCGTGTGAGTGTGGGTGTTCCAGGCCTCAGGATGTGGGTGAGCGCCCCAGGCGTCCGTGTGAATGTGAATGTTCCAGGCCTCAGGATGTGGGTGAGCGCCCCAGGTGTCCGTGTGAGTGTGGGTGTTCCCAGGCCACAGTACATGGCTGAGTGCCCCAGGCGTCCGTGTGAGTGTGGGTGTTCCAGGCCTCAGGATGTGGGTGAGCGCCCCAGGTGTCCGTGTGAGTGTGGGTGTTCCCAGGCCACAGTACATGGCTGAGTGCCCCAGGCGTCCGTGTGAGTGTGGGTGTTCCAGGCCTCAGGATGTGGGTGAGCGCCCCAGGTGTCCGTGTGAGTGTGAATGTTCCAGGCCTCAGGATGTGGGTGAGCGCCCCAGGTGTCCGTGTGAATGTGAATGTTCCAGGCCTCAGGATGTGGGTGAGCGCCCCAGGTGTCCGTGTGAGTGTGGGTGTTCCCAGGCCACAGTACATGGCTGAGTGCCCCAGGCGTCCGTGTGAGTGTGGGTGTTCCAGGCCACAGTACGTGGGTGAGTGCCCCAGGCGTCCATATGAGTGTGGGTGTTCCAGGCCTCAGGATGTGGGTGAACGCCCCAGGTGTCCGTGTGAGTGTGGGCGTTCCCAGGCCACAGTACGTGGGTGAGCGCCCCAGGTGTCCATGTGAGTGTGGGTGTTCCCAGGCCACAGTACGTGGGTGAGTGCCCCAGGCGTCTGTGTGAGTGTGG